TGGGTTTTCCTCTAGTACCAGTTCTCCAAGCTCATTTGCTTTATTTGTAATTCCATCTATGTTAGTGTACATCGCTTTGAGGCTCACTTTCTTCTGTCCCTTCTCAAATCGCCTCCTTGGTGAGTGTTCTGCTGGTGGGGGAGGCTATTCCATGGGTGTGAGGACCTGTGAGGTGGGTAACAGGATCTCAGAGGATACTGGAATGAGGGGCGGGGGATCCAGTGAAGGGGGAGGGACAGGGAGGGTATGGGGTGAAAGGGGAGGGAGGACGGGAAGGAAAGGGGGGGAGGGAGGACTCGGGAGGAGGGGAGGGGTAGAAGGGTGGGGATTGGGTGTGGGGGGAGGGAGATTTGGCTGAACTTTTGAGTGGGGGCAGGGAGGGTTTGGGGTAGGGGGGTTTTCTATGCAGAGGAGGGAGACGGGGTTGTCCTCCCTTCTGGTGTTACTGGGTAGCTAGTTGTGGGTTCCCCCCTCGCCTCTGGGGGTGTTGTGTTGGGAGCTGTGACTTCCTGGTTTTCCCCTCTCGCCCTGCGCCTCTTCCTTGCTTCTGCCGCCACGGCTCTCTCCTCCCTTGTCATGTCTCGCTGGAGGAATACATGTGTGTGTGTGTGTGTGTGTGTGTGTGTGTGTGTGTGTGTGTGTGTGTGTGTGTGTGTGTGTGTGTGTGTGTGTGTGTGTGTGTGTGTGTGTGTGTGTGTGTGTGTGTGTGTGTGTGTGTGTGTGTGTGTGTGTGTGTGTGTGTGTGTGATATGGTGTGTATGTTTCCCCGAGTGTATATGTTTAAACGCTTATGTGCGTACGGTACGATATTAAACAAATAATACTGCATCATTCACATGGACGGAGACGCTGTACACCCGTCTTTCGTGGACCCGTCATTAGGGGGACGGGAGGCCCTCGTGTACCCGTCATTAGGGAGACGGGAGGCCCTCGTGGACCCGTCATTAGGGAGACGGGAGGCCCTCGTGGACCCGCCATTAGGGAGACGGGAGGCCCTCGTGTACCCGTCATTAGGGAGACGGGAGGCCCTCGTGTACCCGTCATTAGGGAGACGGGAGGCCCTCGTGTACCCGTCATTAGGGAGACGGGAGGCCCTCGTGTACCCGTCATTAGGGAGACGGGAGGCCCTCGTGTACCCGTCATTAGGGAGACGGGAGGCCCTCGTGTACCCGTCATTAGGGAGACGGGAGGCCTTCGTGTACCCGTCATTAGGGAGACGGGAGGCCTCGTGGACCCGTCATTATGGAGACGGGAGGCCCTTGTGGACCCGTCATTAGGGAGACGGGAGGCCTCGTGGACCCGTCATTAGGGAGACGGGAGGCCTCGTGGACCCGTCATTATGGAGACGGGAGGCCCTCGTGGACCCGTCATTAGGGGGACGGGAGGCCCTCGTGGACCCGTCATTAGGGAGACGGGAGGCCCTCGTGGACCCGTCATTAGGGAGACGGGAGGCCCTCGTGTACCCGTCATTAGGGAGACGGGAGGCCCTCGTGTACCCGTCATTAGGGAGACGGGAGGCCTCGTGGACCCGTCATTATGGAGACGGGAGGCCCTCGTGGACCCGTCATTAGGGGGACGGGAGGCCCTCGTGTACCCGTCATTAGGGAGACGGGAGGCCCTCGTGGACCCGCCATTAGGGAGACGGGAGGCCCTCGTGTACCCGTCATTAGGGAGACGGGAGGCCCTCGTGGACCCGTCATTAGGGAGACGGGAGGCCCTCGTGTACCCGTCATTAGGGAGACGGGAGGCCCTCGTGGACCCGTCATTAGGGGGACGGGAGGCCCTCGTGGACCCGTCATTAGGAACACGGGAGGCCCTCGTGGACCCGTCATTAGGAACACGGGAGGCCCTCGTGGACCCGTCATTAGGAACACGGGAGGCCCTCGTGTACCCGTCATTAGGGAGACGGGAGGCCCTCGTGTACCCGTCATTAGGGAGACGGGAGGCCCTCGTGGACCTGTCATTAGGGAGACGGGAGGCCCTCGTGGACCTGTCATTAGGGAGACGGGAGGCCCTCGTGTACCCGTCATTAGGGAGACGGGAGGCCCTCGTGGACCCGTCATTAGGGAGACGGGAGGCCCTCGTGGACCCGTCATTAGGGAGACGGGAGGCCCTCGTGTACCTGTCATTAGGGAGACGGGAGGCCCTCGTGTACCCGTCATTAGGGAGACGGGAGGCCCTCGTGTACCCGTCATTAGGGAGACGGGAGGCCCTCGTGGACCTGTCATTAGGGAGACGGGAGGCCCTCGTGTACCTGTCATTAGGGGGACGGGAGGCCCTCGTGTACCCGTCATTAGGGGGACGGGAGGCCCTCGTGTACCCGTCATTAGGGGGACGGGAGGCCCTCGTGGACCCGTCATTAGGGGGACGGGAGGCCCTCGTGGACCCGTCATTAGGGAGACGGGAGGCCCTCGTGTACCCGTCATTAGGGGGACGGGAGGCCCTCGTGGACCTGTCATTAGGGAGACGGGAGGCCCTCGTGTACCCGTCATTAGGGGGACGGGAGGCCCTCGTGTACCCGTCATTAGGGAGACGGGAGGCCCTCGTGGACCCGTCATTAGGGGGACGGGAGGCCCTCGTGTACCCGTCATTAGGAACACGGGAGGCCCTCGTGGACCCGTCATTAGGAACACGGGAGGCCCTCGTGGACCCGTCATTAGGGGGACGGGAGGCCCTCGTGTACCCGTCATTAGGGAGACGGGAGGCCCTCGTGGACCCGTCATTAGGGGGACGGGAGGCCCTCGTGTACCCGTCATTAGGGAGACGGGAGGCCCTCGTGGACCTGTCATTAGGGAGACGGGAGGCCCTCGTGTACCTGTCATTAGGGAGACGGGAGGCCCTCGTGTACCCGTCATTAGGGAGACGGGAGGCCCTCGTGTACCCGTCATTAGGGGGACGGGAGGCCCTCGTGGACCTGTCATTAGGGAGACGGGAGGCCCTCGTGTACCCGTCATTAGGGAGACGGGAGGCCCACGTGGATCCGTCATTAGGGGGACGGGAGGCCCTCGTGGACCCGTCATTAGGGAGACGGGAGGCCCTCGTGTACCCGTCATTAGGTGGACGGGAGGCCCTCGTGGACCTGTCATTAGGGAGACGGGAGGCCCTCGTGTACCCGTCATTAGGGGGACGGGAGGGCCCTCGTGTACCCGTCATTAGGGAGACGGGAGGCCCTCGTGGACCCGTCATTAGGGGGACGGGAGGCCCTCGTGTACCCGTCATTAGGAACACGGGAGGCCCTCGTGGACCCGTCATTAGGAACACGGGAGGCCCTCGTGGACCCGTCATTAGGAACACGGGAGGCCCTCGTGGACCCGTCATTAGGGGGACGGGAGGCCCTCGTGGACACGTCATTAGGGAGACGGGAGGCCCTCGTGCACCCGTCATTAGGAACACGGGAGGCCCTCGTGGACCCGTCATTAGGAACACGGGAGGCCCTCGTGGACCCGTCATTAGGGGGACGGGAGGCCCTCGTGTACCCGTCATTAGGGAGACGGGAGGCCCTCGTGTACCCGTCATTAGGAACACGGGAGGCCCTCGTGGACCCGTCATTAGGGAGACGGGAGGCCCTCGTGTACCTGTCATTAGGGAGACGGGAGGCCCTCGTGTACCCGTCATTAGGGAGACGGGAGGCCCTCGTGCACCCGTCATTAGGGAGACGGGAGGCCCTCGTGGACCCGTCATTAGGAACACGGGAGGCCCTCGTGGACCCGTCATTAGGGAGACGGGAGGCCCTCGTGGACCCGTCATTAGGGGGACGGGAGGCCCTCGTGGACCCGTCATTAGGGAGACGGGAGGCCCTCGTGTACCCGTCATTAGGGAGACGGGAGGCCCTCGTGTACCCGTCATTAGGGAGACGGGAGGCCCTCGTGTACCCGTCATTAGGGAGACGGGAGGCCCTCGTGTACCCGTCATTAGGGAGACGGGAGGCCCTCGTGTACCCGTCATTAGGGAGACGGGAGGCCCTCGTGTACCCGTCATTAGGGAGACGGGAGGCCCTCGTGGACCCGTCATTAGGGAGACGGGAGGCCCTCGTGTACCCGTCATTAGGGAGACGGGAGGCCCTCGTGTACCCGTCATTAGGGAGACGGGAGGCTCTCGTGTACCCGTCATTAGGGAGACGGGAGGCCACACACTCCTGGAGGTCACGTGACCCACAGACGACCTAGTTTTCATACTAATCAGACATTAACCACCTGTTTGTCTCAATAAAGTTAATTGTTTCATTAAACTTTTGGTTTTTACAAGTTGTTGTTGTCATTTTTTCTTGCCGTCTATGCTTCCTTCTCCCTCCTCCATCATTCTCTATCATATTCTCTCATTATCTGTCTACTAATCCCTCTTTTGCGCTTAACATATCCTTAAACGTTAACATTTAACATCGTCCTAACATTTATTTCCGGTCTGTATTATTCCGTTCTTCATCCCTATATTCCGTCTCTTATACTGTAATTCTTTTATCTTACTTATCAATGAATTAGTGACTTCTATCTAATTACTTATCAATTCCACACACTTTTTTCCTATACTTTGTAAGGGCGGGAACAAACGAGCATTTCCTCTCTGATCGTCTTCTGTTTGTCATTAGTTTGTCTGTCTGTCTGTGTGTGTGTCTGTCTGTCTGTGTGTGTGTGTGTGTGTGTGTGTGTGTGTGTGTGTGTGTGTGTGTGTGTGTGTGTGTGTGTCTGTCTGTCTGTGTCTGTGTGTGTCTGTCTGTCTGTCTGTCTGTCTGTCTGTCTGTCTGTCTGTCTGTCTGTCTGTCTGTCTGTCTGTGTCTGTGTGTGTGTGTGTGTGTCTGTCTGTCTGTCTGTCTGTCTGTCTGTCTGTCTGTCTGTCTGTCTGTCTGTCTGTCTGTCTGTCTGTCTGTGTCTGTGTGTGTCTGTCTGTCTGTCTGTATGTCTGTCTGTCTGTCTGTCTGTCTGTCTGTCTGTCTGTCTGTCTGTCTGTCTGTCTGTCTGTCTGTCTATCTGCTCAACAACGGCATTAGGATATTAATACAAAAGTTCTTCACGGAAGATATTATATTGCCTATAAGCACAGAGAACTCAAACATTATTATTACTATGTAGACTCTCCTACATAAACATACACACCTTCACTATATTATGTAAACTCACCTACATAAACATACACACCTTCGCCACATAATTATGTAGACTCCTACATAAACATACACACCTTAACTACATATTAGTTTTCTCCTGCCATTAACATACAGTTACTCTGAGATGGCGTCATAGATGGCATCGATCTTTGGTGAATATAAATATATATTACTCATTTATAAAATGAACAATTACTTAAAAATAATGCGTGAAGAGATATATGAGGGACTGGTAGTGGGCATTAGAGTATGAGGGACTGGTAGTGGGCATTAGAGTATGAGGGACTGGTAGTGGGCATTAGAGTATGAGGGACTGGTAGTGGGCATTAGAGTAGGAGGGCCTGGTAGTGGGCATTAGAGTATGAGGGACTGGTAGTGGGCATTAGAGTATGAGGGACTGGTAGTGGGCATTAGAGTATGAGGGACTGGTAGTGGGCATTAGAGTATGAGGGACTGGTAGTGGGCATTAGAGTATGAGGGACTGGTAGTGGGCATTAGAGTATGAGGGACTGGTAGTGGGCATTAGAGTATGAGGGACTGGTAGTGGGCATTAGAGTATGAGGGACTGGTAGTGGGCATTAGAGTATGAGGGACTGGTAGTGGGCATTAGAGTATGAGGGACTGGTAGTGGGCATTAGAGTATGAGGGACTGGTAGTGGGCATTAGAGTATGAGGGACTGGTAGTGGGCATTAGAGGGCTGATTCAGTCTACCTTGAGCCACTTAAGAATGCCTCCAAATGACGATTCCTTTTAGAACTATTGTAGTTATGCTGATGTTAGAGCCCAGCTGTTGAGGGTTCAAGGGTTCAACAAGGGGGTTCTGAGTTATGGTGGAGCGGCCAGTTGGCCTCGTGGCCATGGTTGGGCAGTACAGGGAATATACCATGGTTGAGTACTCTCTGAAGAGCAAACATGGTGGGGCAGCAGGTGGGTATCAGCTATTGTGGGGCAGCAGGTGGGTACCAGGCATGGTGGGGCAGCAGGTGGGTATCAGCTATTGTGGGGCAGCAGGTGGGTACCAGGCATGGTGGGGCAGCAGAGGGGTACCAGCCATGGTGGGGCAAAAGGGGGGTATCAGCCATGGTGGGGCAGCAGGAGGGTATCAGCCATGGTGGGGCAGCAGGAGGGTATCAGCCATGGTGGGGCAGCAGGTGGGCATCAGCCATACTGGGGCAGCAGAGGGGTACCAGCCATGGTGGGGCAGCAGAGGGGTATCAGCCATGGTGGGGGCAGCAGAGGGGTACCAGCCATGGTGGGGCAGCAGAGGGGTACCAGCCATGGTGGGGGAGCAGAGGGGTACCAGCCATGGTGGAGCAGCAGGTGATATCAGCCATGGTGGGACAGCAGAGAGGTACCAACCATGGTGGGGCAGCAGGTGGGTACAGCCATGGTGGGGCAGCAGAGGGGTACCAGCCATTGTGGGGCAGCAGAGGGGTACCAGCCATGGTGGGGCAGCCGAGGGGTACCAGCCATGGTGGGGTAGCAGGTGGGAACCAGCCATGGTGGGGCAGCAGGGGGGTATCAGCCATGGTGGGGCAGCAGGTGATATCAGCCATGGTGGGGCAGCAGAGGGGTACCAGCCATTGTGGGGCAGCAGAGGGGTACCAGCCATGGTGAGGCAGCCGAGGGGTACCAGCCAAGGTGGGGCAGCAGGTGGGTACCAGCCATGGTGGGGCAGCAGAGGGGTACCAGCCATGGTGGGGCAGCAGGTGGGTACCAGCCATGGTGGGGCAGCAGGTGGGTACCAGCCATGGTGGGGCAGCAGAGGGGTACCAGCTATTGTGGGGCAGCAGAGGGGAACCAGCCATGGTGGGGCAGCAGAACGATACCAGCCATGGTGGGGCAGCCGGGGGGGGGGGGGGGGTATCAGCCATGGTGGGGCAGCCGGGGGGGGGTATCAGCCATGGTGGGGCAGCAGAGGGGTATCAGCCATGGTGGGGCAGCAGAGTGGGTACCAGCCATGGTGGGGCAGCAGAGTGGGTACCAGCCATGGTGGGGCAGCAGAAGAATATCAGCCATGGTGGGGCAGCAGGGGGGTATCAGCCTTGGTGAGGCAGCAGAGGGGTATCAGCTATGGTGGGGCAGCAGAAGAGTATCAGCCATGGTGGGGCAGCAGAGGAGTATCAGCCATGGTGGGGCAGCAGAGGAGTATCAGCCATGGTGGGGCAGCAGAGGAGTATCAGCCATGGTGGGGCAGCAGAGGAGTATCAGCCATGGTGGGGCAGCAGGAGGGTATCAACCATGGTGGGGCAGCAAGGGGGTATCAGCCATGGTGGGGCAGCAGAGGAGTATCAGCCATGGTGGGGCAGCAGGAGGGTATCAACCATGGTGGGGCAGCAAGGGGGTATCAGCCATGGTGGGGCAGCAGAGGGGGTACCAGCCATGGTGGGGCAGCAGAGGAGTATCAGCCATGGTGGGGTAGCAGAGGAGTATCAGCCATGGTGAGCATGATGGGGCATCAGAAGTGCAATAGACATGGTGGATCGTCAGTGATGTGAGAGATAAGTTAGGTAAAAAGTCTAACGCAAGTGTTGCCATGATGAAGCAGCCATGGTGTGTCAGCCATGGTGTGTCAGCCATGATGATGGTACCAAGGTGTGTCAGCCATAATGGGGAATGAGTAGTATGTCAGCCATGATGAGGCGTCACACAGGTGAAATGTCACTTTTGAGCAACACCAACAGTGCACCTCTCATGGTAGCACATCAGGCGGCTGTGAGTGGTTACCAATAGCTGTCTGGCTTAAACACAGCAACAATAGACTTGAAGTTTTGGGAAATTAACCAGAGTTCGACAGCAGTGATTATGAAACACTTTGGGGAATACATAGTATAGTTATGGCAAGGCACCATGGTAACATGGGCACGGTGGAGAAGCCGCAGTGAAATAGTAGTTAGATACTATTAATGGTTAAGTAGGAACTGGCACGTCCACTCATGGTGTGGCCGGTGTGGTGATGCCCGTATAATGGGGCCATTATGGTGCACTGTGGAGGGTATTGTGGAGCCAATAGGTTGAAGCCGGATTATTCAGGTCCCATGGTAAGGGAGGTATGGTGTGCCCACCATGGTGTAGTAGGTATGGTGTGCCCACCATGGTGTAGTAGGTATGGTGTGCCCACCATGGTGTAGTAGGTATGGTGTACCCACCATGGTATAGTAGGTATGGTGTACCCACCATGGTGTAGTAGGTATGGTGTACCCACCATGGTGTAGTAGGTATGGTGTACCCACCATGGTGTAGTAGGTATGGTGTACCCACCATGGTGTAGTAGGTATACTGGGGTCACCATAGTGTGAGGCCTCACCATGGAAGGTATGGTGAGGCCCCTTTAGGAGTAAAGACATTATGACGCCGCCAGTGGAAAGGAGGTAAGGTAGGTCCACTATAGGGAAGCTTGTACGATGGTGATACCACTGGGAAGCCTATATGGTGGGTCTACCATGGAGAAGCAGATAAGGTGGGGCCACTATGGTGAAGGAAGAATGGTGGTACCACCATAGGAAAGTCGTTATGGTGGTGCCACTATAGGAAATTCGGTATGGTGGGTCCACCATAGGGAAGCATGTATGGTGGGTCCACCATAGGGAAGCATGTATGGTGGGTCCACCATAGGGAAGCATGTATGGTGGGTCCACCATAGGGAAGCATGTATGGTGGAACCACCATATGGGAGACACAATACTAGGAGGCGTGTTCCTTGTCCACTATGGTCGGCGTTATGTCGTTAATGAAGTCCTTAAAGGTAAACGGATCCATGTTCTTAGCTGAAAGGTAAAACATTTAACATTAATAGACACAACTACAGAGAGGTCAGCTATAATTATGACACAAACATGTTACTACAGAGAGGCAAGTTATATATATTACACAAACATGTGGCTGCTGACATGTTAGTTATATATATTACACAAACATATGTGACTAGTGAGAGGTAAGCAATATTTATTAGACAAATGTGTGACTACAAAGAAGTAGGTTATAATTACTTTCATTTACAGAAGTAAATGTTATTTAGTAATATTCGAGGATTTGTTTACCTTTATATAATAACTATATAATACAGCAGCTGCTAACATTCATCTACTTACAGAATTTCGATAAATTGTATATGTTCCTAGATTTTAAGGTTCACTTCCCTGAATCCTTCAGCTTAAATTAATCTCGAGAAGCACATTGAATCGTAAACATGAGAAGTAAATGATAACTTTTGGGTAAGTTATTCAAGAAGTAGTCAGGTGTGATGACGCCTGAAACACCTTATACAGGCGAGACGCTTCACGTACCTATCATGTAGAGGATGAACCAGTCACCTATGTAACACCTTTGTGATATAGCCTTCACCTTCTCTGAGGAGGCCAGGCGCGAGCGACTACGCAGGAGCAGGTGGCGGACGGTGGGGGTGAAGGTGGCCAGGCGGTAGACGAGCCCCAGAGTCGAGATGACGGCCACAGTCACAAACCTGCAACACACACACCAAGCTTAAAGCTCAGGGTCACGGCTCTGTAGCAGAATATACATGACCTCTCGCTCCTTGAAGCATACCTTTGAGGGGGGCTCGTAGCCTGGTGGATAGCGCGCAGGACTCGTAATTCTGTGGCGCGGGTTCGATTCCCGCACGAGGCAGAAACAAATGGGCAAAGTTTCTTTCACCCTATGCCCCTGTTACCTAGCAGTAAATAGGTACCTGGGAGTTAGTCAGCTGTCACGGGCTGCTTCCTGGGGGTGGAGGCCTGGTCGAGGACCGTGCCGCGGGGACACTAAAGCCCCGAAATCATCTCAAGATCTCAAGATAACCTCAAGATACCTAGTTATACTGTCTGATCCCTCTCGCTGATCATACCTTAATAACCTTTAACATTGTTGAGACTTAAATGTATTTACTGCTTGTTGTTTCAAGTTGAATCAAGTCTCCTGAAATTTAAACTTTAGGCTTTTAGCAGATAATTAGATGCATTAGTTGGCATTTATATGACTCAGTCAAATAATCAACATCTATTAAATATTCCACGAATGGATCAGTGAGTAACACTATAAAGGTGTTTAGTTGAATTATATTTTGTTACATACAACATTAGTCAGTCAGACAGGATTTGAGGCGCCAGACTGTCGCCCTGTAGTAATTAAAAAGTCACACCTCTAGAGTGTTAATGACTACAAGTTGACCAGGAGTAAGGTCGTGTGAATTGACCTTCTGCGAAGTTGATAATTGCAGACGATTGGTGGTGTCTTCATCAAACAAGTCGCTGTCCAGGCGTGGTAGGTAGATGGCCTGAGGTTATTTACTTAGTAGGGATAGTTAGCTCCAGGGTCCCCCCATAAATACCCAGGGAACTGTACATTCGAGAGCATAGAGCATCACCAGAGAACAGAGCAGACAGCGAGGCTGGACGATTGAACTGCAGCCGAGACCAGGCTGTCGGCCGGACGGGGGGACTCTGCCTCTCACCCCCCTCCACCTCCTCTCTATCCAACTTTGGCTCAGACACTTGGTGAGTTGAACTGTAAGGTGACAAATTTGTTGTGGTCCCACTGAAGGTGTTTTGTGATTTTCAGGGGCAGACAGCCGTAGTGTTCTCAGTGTCTTGTGTGGTGACTCACATTGTACATTTATCCTGACATAGATAACATTAGGTTCGATTTCTTGAATTATGATACTCATCATGTTAAATATATACTTGATTAACTTACTTTTTAATCTGACTTTAATTGTGTTCCCTAGATCTTGGATTTTCTGATATATTGCAAGTTAGAGTGTGGAGCACTCTGAGTTCATTGACTTAAAGATTCTTGCATTCTAGTTGATACATGCTAACCTCTGACAACATCTTTGATAATTTTGTGATACAGACAAGTTTCATTCCTTGTCTTGCATGTACTGTGTTTAAAATGGATGGTGGCAGCCCTTTCTACCTTCTACTTCTCCTTTCTACTTCCCTCCGTATTCTCAGTCTCTCCCTCCTTTCTTTTCAAACTTTCCCTTTCACCTGACCACACTCCTCGCTACTAACAGACTCCTTCCTGTACTCCTCCCACCTCCCTTCCACCTCTCTACCTCCCTCACCACAAATCCTAACCCATTACTTCATTATTTATTTCCTTTCCTTCTCAGTTTCCGATACGTTACAGGTGTACAGCTCACCAGATCCTCAGCATTACAGCACTTGTCTGTAAGCGTCTCCATGAAGCACACAGAAAATTAAGGCATCACTTCCCAGCCACCATTTACAAACAGCTAACTGGTTAGAATACATAAAAACCAAATAAAATTACAACGCATATCACATAACTGTAATTCCTGCCCCATTAACTCAACCTCAGCCTTGCACACCAAAATAAGCCTAAACAACCCATCAGAAGCACACGAACAGAACGCCACTCACCAGAACCAGAGAAAGACGAAGATCTTCTGGTTGAGGATGTTGAGCGGGAGGACACAGAGAGCGTCGTGTCGCATGATGGTCCCTGATGGACCGAAGTTGTGGAAGGTGCACTTGGCCACCTTGGGGAAGATCTCCTCCATGGGATCCACACCTTTCATTGAGTCTTGGGTATAGCTTAAGACCCTCGGTCCATACTTGGCGAACCCAAACCCCAAGAACCTGAATAAAGTGAATTCTTGAAGTTGCTTGAACACATTTAGCAATTAAACAACCAATTAAAAAGACAAAGACAATTTTGACTGAAATGGAAATATACAAAAAATATTAAATACAACAAAGAAATTTAAACATGGAAAGACCTACGAGCATAATTCGAGAAAACGTAACTCAGAGTGTGAACAATTGAGCTGAGGACTCAGAGTTGTTCAACTCAGGATAGATTCCAAGTTGTTGAGATTTAGTCGATGTGAACTATAAGTCAGAACAGAACAGTGAAATACCCGTAAGTGAAAGGGGGAAGGGAGTTGGCCATTTCTTTACAGTGAACCCTAACACCAGAGCCGGTCGGCCGAGCGGACAGCACGCGGGACTTGTGATCCTGTGGTCCTGGGTTCTATCCCAGGCGCCGGCGAGAAACAATGGGCAGAGTTTCTTTCACCCTATGCCCCTGTTACCTAGCAGTAAAATAGGTTCCTGGGTGTTAGTCAGCTGTCACGGGCTGCTTCCTGGGGGTGGAGGCCTGGTCGAGGACCTGGCCGCGGGGACAGTAAAAGCCCCGAAATCATCTCAAGATAACCTCAAGATAACCAGAGAAGGCAGTTTGCCTCAGAGGCAAACCTGTGCGGTGAGAGAGACACATATGTACACTGGTATGGTGTTCAAGGATTGGTTTTGGATGCGTTTCCCACACATCCAACGTTACGCTGCGAACGTTACGAACTTCGAACAGATCTGGATGCCTTAGAAGAACTACCACAAAGCAAGAAAGTTGAGTGTGATGTGAACTTTCTTAATATTTACAAGAAATATGAATTTTTGTTCCAAGTTCAGTAGGTACAAAGTAGATAACTCTAGGTTTTATTATGGCTAAAATGATGAATGTAGTGAGCTCTGATGATTATTACAGTGATGAAGGTAGTGAGCTCTGATGATTATTACAGTGATGAAGGTAGTGAGTACTGATGATTATTACAGTGATGAAGGTAGTGAGCTCTGATGATTATTACAGTGATGAAGGTAGTGAGCTCTGATGATTATTACAGTGATGAAGGTAGTGAGCTCTGATGATTATTACAGTGATGAAGGTAGTGAGTACTGATGATTATTACAGTGATGCAGGTAGTGAGCTCTGATGATTATTACAGTGATGAAGGTAGTGAGCTCTGATGATTATTACAGTGATGAAGGTAGTGAGTACTGATGATTATTACAGTGATGAAGGTAGTGAGCTCTGATGATTATTACAGTGATGAAGGTAGTGAGCTCTGATGATTATTACAGTGATGAAGGTAGTGAGCTCTGATGATTATTACAGTGATGCAGGTAGTGAGCTCTGATGATTATTACAGTGATGCAGGTAGTGAGCTCTGATGATTATTACAGTGATGCAGGTAGTGAGCTCTGATGATTATTACAGTGATGAAGGTAGTGAGCTCTGATGATTATTACAGTGATGAAGGTAGTGAGCTCTGATGATTATTACAGTGATGCAGGTAGTGAGCTCTGATGATTATTACAGTGATGCAGGTAGTGAGCTCTGATGATTATTACAGTGATGAAGGTAGTGAGTACTGATGATTATTACAGTGATGAAGGTAGTGAGTACTGATGATTATTACAGTGATGCAGGTAGTGAGCTCTGATGATTATTACAGTGATGAAGGTAGTGAGTACTGATGATTATTGCAGTGATTAAGAAGGTGTGTAGTGAAGATATGGCCTCCATCACCCATGCAGCCCCGGGTACTCCCTTTAGTACATACATATATTTCTTTAGAAGTAAATTTTAAAAAATCATATTGTTTAGATTACTGAATAGAAAAAACGGAAATGGAAGATTGTCGTCTTACTTGTCAGTGAAGTACATCTGGCCGACGACGTTGACGAAGTTGAGTAGCTCGCACAGGAAGAACTGGTAGGCGTAGACGTTGTGGTGGTGGAAGTAATGGTCGAAGTACTCAATCACAAACTTGGTCCTCTCTCTCCTGCGGTCGTGGCTCAGGGCAGGCAGGTTGAGCTCGGCGACCAGGCCGCTCACACGGCCTCCCTCTAGCCGCTTCCAGATGAAGCGAGGCACGTAGAACATCCCAGCCTACGGACGGAACTGTATTGTGAATGTGGCCTGACCGTGGCCAGGCTGTAGGGGAGGAGTCATTTAGTGAAGGAAGTACCGTGCTTCTACACTATCTTGAGGTTATCTTGAGATGATTTCGGGGCTTTAGTGTCCCCGCGGCCCGGCCCTCGACCAGGCCTCCACCCCCAGGAAGCAACCCGTGACAGCTGACTAACTCCCAGGTACCTATTTACTGCAAGGTAACAGGGGCATTAAGGGTGAAAGAAACTTTGCCCATTTGTTTCTGCCTCGTGCGGGAATCGAACCCGCGCCACAGAATTACGAGCCCTGCGCGCTATCCACCAGGCTACGAGGCCCCACTACAGCAATGTTCTTGGTCTACTATTTCTCTGTATTTGTATTGTACGCTCTGTATCTGTAATTGTATTCTGAGACTTCCGTGGAAGTGTTTCCTCTCTGTGTTCGTTGTGTTGTGGGCTCACCGGGCCTAGGAACCGGTTAAGATAAGATGCTTAAGTAGTTTGAATTCCGATAGCCAAGCGTGTTCAGCGTCTGGACGTGTGGCTCAGTTATCCGGCCATAGATTTACGGAGCTCCTGTTTTCGTTGTATATTTTGTTCGTTATATTTTGGTCCTTATACGTTGAATAGTGTGCGCTATACGTTGTATTGTATTCCCTATATGTTGAATATTGTTCTCTATAGTGTATAATATTCTCTGTGCATTGTATATTGTTCTCTATTTGTTGTACATTGTGCTCTATACGTTGTATATTGTATTCTATACATTGCATAAAGATACTTACCGTTGTATATCCAGGTGGTACAGGCACAGGAGCTACACAATCTGGATACATAGAGGCGACCCCCTCTTACACAACACATTCCTCTCACACATTCTAATAGTATGTATTCTGCTCGGGTGGTGGCGCCACATGTGTCGCATAGTGATCGTCGATTAAGAGCACGAGGGAAGCGACTGCTCCTCGCTGCTATCGTTCCTCCATCTGGCAACCTGTCCTCCAACATAGAACGTCGCTTTTCGCTCGTAGGCAATAACAGCCCCGCTCCTGTGCCCGGCAACTCCTGTATGGGCTCACCATAGCCCGTGCTACTTGGACCGTTTAGTCCAAGTAGCTGAATCTAACACAACAACAACGCTCGTGTGCGTTAATTAAAACCAAAAATTTTCGTACTTACGAACATAAGCAAAAAAGATAACTGTATAAGGCCTAATGGCCCATACGAGGCAGCTCTTATTTATAACTACCCAATCCCACTCCATCTACACTTACATGTCAAACCCACGCTTGACACGATCAAGGGACCCCACCTCCACCACGTTACGCGGTAATTGGTTCCACAAATCAACAACCCTGTTACCGAACCAGTATTTACCCAGGTTTTTTCTAAATCTATACTGGCGGGCGATGAGTCACAATAACGTGGCCACACACTAGAAAATTAAGGGACGACGACGTTTCGGTCCGTCCTGGACCATTCTCAAGTCGATTGTGAGAATGGTCCAGGACGAACCAAAACGTCGTTGTCCCTTCATTTTTTAGTGTGGATTGGTCAACAATCTATACTTATCCAATTTATACCCATTGTTTCGTGTTCTGTCTTGTGTTGATACTTAGTAGAAAATGGTCTCCGTGAAAAAGAAATACAGCAGTCTCCGTGGTGTAGTGGTAGAACACTCGCCTGGCGTTCCGTGAGCGCTATGTCATGGGTTCGTATCCTGGCCGGGGAGGATTTACTGGGCGCAATTCCTTAACTGTAGCCTCTGTTTAACTCAACAGTAAAATGTGTACTTGGATGAAAAAACGATTCTTCGTGGCAGGGGATCGTATTCCAGGGACCATAGGATTAAGGACTTGCCCGAAACGCTACGCGTACTAGTGGCTCTACAAGAATGTAACAACTCTTGTATATATCTCAAATGGAAGTTGTTATTGTTGTTGATGTAGGAGCGACGACGATCGCGGGATCGGATGCTCCCCGGCGTACACGTGAAGGGTTAATCGAGAAGCCCGGAAAAGGTGAATCGCCAAACCTAACCATGAAACGAGTGACGCCAATCGCTGAAACTAATGTCTCGCGGCAAAGAAACGCAAACAGGAAGATGATTGGGGTGCCCCAAGAGTCCTTCAGGGTGACAAGCACCGGCCCTGCCCCACACAGATAGGGGCCTGGTAGCCTGGCAGAATGAGCGCAGGACTCGTAATTCTGTGGCGCGGGTTGGATTCCCGCACCAGGCAGAAACCATTGGGCAAAGTTTCTTTCTCCTTGAATGCCCCAGTTACCTAGCAGTAAATAGGTACCTTGGAGTTAGTCAGCTGTCACGGGCTGCTTCCTGGGGCGTGTGTACTCACCTAGTTGTACTTACCTAGTTGTGCTTGCGGGGGTTGAGCTCTGGCTCTTTGGTCCCGCCTCTCAACCGTCAATCAACAGGTGTACAGGTTCCTGAGCCTACTGGGCTCTATCATATCTACACTTGAAACTGTGTATGGAGTCAGCCTCCACCACATTGCTTCCTAATGCATTCCATTTGTCAACTACTCTGACACTAAAAAAGTTCTTTCTAATATCTCTGTGGCTCATTTGGGCACTCAGTTTCCACCTGTGTCCCCTAGTGCGTGTGCCCCTTGTGTTAAATAGCCTATCTTTATCAACCCTGTCGATTCCCTTGAGAATCTTGAATGTGGTGATCATGTCCCCCCTAACTCTTCTGTCTTCCAACGAAGTGAGGTTCAATTCCCGTAGTCTCTCCTCGTAGCTCATACCTCTCAGCTCGGGTACTAGTCTGGTGGCAAACCTTTGAACCTTTTCCAGTTTACTCTTATGCTTGACTAGATATGGACTCCATGCTGGAGCCGCATACTCCAGGATTGGTCTGACATATGTGGTATATAATGTTCTGAAAGATTCCTTACACAAGTTTCTAAAGGCCGTTCTTATGTTAGCCAACCTGGCATATGCTGCTGATGTTATCCTCTTGATATGAGCTTCAGGGGACAGGTCTGGCGTGATATCAACCCCCAGGTCTTTCTCTCTCTCTGACTCTTGAAGTATTTCATCTCCCAAGTGATACCTTGTATCTGGTCTCCTGCTTCCTACTCCTATCTTCATTACATTACATTTGCTTGGGTTAAACTCTAACATCCATTTGTTCGACCATTCCTGCAGCTTGTCCAGGTCTTCTTGAAGCCTCAAGCTGTCCTCCTCTGTCTTAATCCTTCTCATAATTTTGGCGTCGTCAGCAAACATTGAGAGGAATGAGTCTATACCCTCTGGGAGATCATTTACGTATATCAGAAACAGGATAGGTCCAAGCACAGAGCCCTGTGGGACTCCACTGGTGACTTCTCGCCATTCTGAGGTCTCACCCCTCACTATAACTCTCTGCTTCCTATTGCTTAGGTACTCCCTTATCCACTGGAGCGCCCTACCAGTTACTCCTGCCTGTTTCTCCAGCTTATGCATCAACCTTTTATGGGGTACTGTGTCAAAGGCTTTCCGACAGTCAAAAAAAATGCAGTCCGCCCATCCTTCTCTTTCTTGCTTAATCTTTGTCACCTGATCATAGAATTCTATCAAGCCTGTAAGGCAAGATTTACCCTCCCTGAACCCATGTTGATGGATGTGTGTGTGTGTGTGTGTGTGTGTGTGTGTGTGTGTGTGTGTGTGTGTGTGTGTGTGTGTGTGTGTGTGTGTGTGTGTGTGTGTGTGTGTGTGTGTGTGTGTGTGTGTGTGTGTGTGTGTGTGTGTGTGTGTGTGTGTGTGTGTGTGTGTGTGTGTGTGTGTGTGTGTGTGTGTCATTTGGGGGGAAAAAATGTTGTTAGTAAAACAGTTGATTGACGGTTGAGAAGAGGGGCGAAAGAGAAAAGCTCAACCCCCGCAAACACAACTAGGTGAATACAGAGAACACTGTGAAGCAAGCCAAAATCTCTGCCCCCAATTAAAACGCAAAAGTCATCCAGTGTCCCCCCGGCAGAGCAGATGCCAACCACCCACCACGGCTGAGGGCACACCAGGAGCCCACCACGGCTGAGGGCACACCAGGAGCCCACCACGGCTGAGGGCACACCAGGAGCCCACCACGGCTGAGGGCACACCAGGAGCCCACCACGGCTGAGGGCACAACAGGAGCCCACCACGGCTGAAGGCACACCAGGAGCCCACCACGGCTGAGGGCACACCAGGAGCCCACCACGGCTGAGGGCACACCAGGAGCCCACCACGGCTGAGGGCACACCAGGAGCCCACCACGGCTGAGGGCACACCAGGAGCCCCTCACGGCTGAGGGCACACCAGGAGCCCACCACGGCTGAGGGCACACCAGGAGCCCACCACGGCTGAGGGCACAACAGGAGCCTACCACGGCTGATGGCACACCAGGAGCCCACCACGGCTGAGGGCACACCAGGAGCCCACCACGGCTGAGGGCACAACAGGAGCCCACCACGGCTGAGGGCACACCAGGAGCCCACCACGGCTGAGGGCACACCAGGAGCCCACCACGGCTGAGGGCACACCAGGAGCCCACCACGGCTGAGGGCACAACAGGAGCCCACCACGGCTGAGGGCACGACAGGAGCCCACCACGGCTGAGGGCACACCAGGAGCCCACCACGGCTGAGGGCACACCAGGAGCCCACCACGGCTGAGGGCACAACAGGAGCCCACCACGGCTGAGGGCACAACAGGAGCCCACCACGGCTGAGGGCACGACAGGAGCCCACCACGGCTGAGGGCACACCAGGAGCCCACCACGGCTGAGGGCACACCAGGAGCCCACCACGGCTGAGGGCACACCAGGAGCCCACCACGGCTGAGGGCACACCAGGAGCCCACCACGGCTGAGGGCACAACAGGAGCCCACCAACCCCCCGGCACCTGTTGGCCAAGCCGGCGCCGGACACCGTCACCCTGTCGGGAGAACCAGTCAGAACACGTGAAAAAAATGTACCCCGTGACCCAAGGCGATATGTGCGCCAAGTGTCGTGCAACCGGACC